TGAATGAAAATTTGCATGAACATCATCACACGTACAGTGATTAACATCTAAGCCTATTTTTTTTTTTAAAAAAAGACAGATTTATTATAAATCCAGATTCTTTGGATTTTCATATATTTTATGTTATTTCATCATCCCCCTGAGAATCCTATGTCGCGTTTTTTTCTTCTACTTATGCATCATACACAGGCTTGTTTCTCAAAACAGGCCCATTCTGAGCCATCTATAATCTATAACGCTCATCAATAATTTTGTTGTTGTTGGTAGGGAATGACTGTCTTAGCTTTTGTTTTCCCACGACACGCTGCAACATTTTAGAATAACATTTGAATGAAAAACAGGACAGGAGTCAACAAGTCTGGGTGTGTGTAGTTGTGCCAGGATGCCGAAAAGACAGTCAGTATTTCAGTAATACTCCTGAGCCTCGATTATGTTGTTGTGCTTATTCTTTTGTTGTCATTTTACGGTACACTGAAGGTTTATTTTGGATGCTTTATATAATCCACAATCATCAAAGGACAATGCAAAACACAAACATCTGGTTTAAATGAGGACTGCAGTCATGGATATAATCTGCGGTTATCGCTTGTGCTTTATGCACGCTGGTGTGCTCAGTGGCAGGAAAGAAACTGGGAACTGTATATTGGAAAACTGTGAGCATTCAAAATTAGATTTCATTTTTTTCGGAGATAAGCAGCTAAAAAAGAACAGAAAGTCAGTTGAAAATAAAATATTGGTGCCTCACATTGAATGTAGCACTGCAGACTTGAAAGGTGCACGCCCTTTTAGAGAGTACTCACACTGAACCAACCTTCAAGCAAAAGATGCTCACATCACTGGGAAACTGAATAAAAGGTAAGTAATGCTGCATTGCTACACTGCACATTTAAAATCTGTTGATCATTTAGGGAATAATAGAATATTCAGACAGACTGACAGAATATGAGACTAGCTTTCACTAAACCATTCTGTTTCCTGTTTGCTGCTTTCTACAATGAGGTGTTTTTTGTTAAATTTTGAACACTATAAAATAAAAAGCAAAGGTTCAGGGTTTCTATAAAAGACTATGCATCTGTAGACACACAAACTAGAAACCCTGAATGTGTATTACACTAGATAAAGCTAATTGCAGATGCACTGCATCAGAGAATTTCCCGTGCCTTCTGATTGTGGTTCAGGAGGTACTTAAAGGTCATGAAAGAGCTTCTGTACTTACGCCAAAAAAAAGGAAAAACAGTATGTGTGTTTGGTCTTACACGCTGAAATCGGAGCTGCCTGTGCTGACCTCTCAGCCTCGGTCGACGTGAGTTAGCTGAGGAATACTAATGAGAGAACTGGGTTTCAGCTGAATGGATAATGAATTTAAAAACAACAACACAAGTTGTTGTCTCAGTGTTCACAGCGCTGCTTTGTCATTATGCTGTTGTGATGGTAAACCCTCTATACGGCAGCATAAAACAGAATCGGTGGAATAAAGCATTTGCTTTGGCTTAGCACTAACTGCTAAACATTGCTGCAGGTCAGGACAGCTTGTTTATCTGTGCTCTGCCTTTAAATCCCACTCAGTTCACCCTCTGTTCAATCTTTAGGTGCCTTAGGTCTGCAAGACAGAAAGGATTGCTTAGTTGTTGTTGTGGAAAAGGAGGTCAAGGAAGCGTGGTGTGAGCAAACCTGTATGCTGATGGGGTGCTAAAACCAAGGAGAGGCCCATGCGAGGCTTCAGAGTGAGCATAATGTATGTTTTTTACCTTTCATGATAGAGGAGGAAGGGAGGATGGAGATCAGTGGGGTAGATTTCCTGCTGGAGATGAGCTCTGAGTGGATGTGTGGGTGTGGCTTCAAGGATGCTGTAAAGCTGTCAGCTTGCTTTTATGTGCATTTGCTTGTGTTCACCCATACAACATATGAGTAATATTGAGGTTCACTGGCTATCTACTGCTTTTAGCCCTAATTAATAATTTTTGCAGTGACTTCAATCAACAGCAAATCATTTTACATTTTAGTAGCTGCAGCCTTACTACGAATATTAACTGTGCCAGAGTTCTGGGCAAAATGCAGTTTTGAAATTTCTTCTTTGTGCTGTCAAACAGTCTGTCATTCCTGTCAAAAGTAAAACTGTCATGTGAATAACTGAAAGAAGAGCAAAGTCTCTGGATAAACTAAGAGGTTCGCGGCTGTCAAAACAAAGGGAACTTGACATTTTCTGTTGGCATGTTTGTTCCCTCCAGTTTTTTTTCTCATACAGGTTTAAGCCTGATTGCTCTGTATTACCACCAGCCGATGTCACGCTCAGCTAGTGGAAATCAAATCTCTGAATTTGCATGGTTATTTTACCAACCTTTGACAGTGTGAGCCACTACTTACATTGAAGAGTTTGAACAAGTGCTGTTCTACATAGTGCAGTGCTGAGACTGAGTACAGACAAATAACACTGCTTAAATAGTAACTACTCTTGGAATAAGGGCAAAGCATGACCGTTTTTAATTGCACTAAACAAGCCCACCATTACCTTTGAAGAGTGGCTATGTAGGCTAATTTCCATCTACAGTAATTTCCAAGACTTGCAGCTGGTGGGGAGGTGTCTTGTAATACCATAAAAAATAAATGCCCTTAAAATATGTATTTAGTATTCAGTCACGAGTGCATGTGCATAGAGTTGCCCTTCTAATTTCTGGGTTGAATGCTCACAAACAATTATTACTTTACAGTAAATCAATTTGTACTTAGAGCTGTATGGCTTTGATAAGGCAATTAAGAAAAGCAGAAACAAGAGAGGCAAATATTTATGAAAAGTATTGCTTATGTAAGAAACTGAAAAACATGTGCTCTTGCCGCACTGGATCACATTGGCCTAAGTTAATATGGTGCTGGGAATTACACTAGTCCAAGGTTCCTAGATTGCTGCTGACTTGAGTTTTGTCTGCTATTGGAGGTTTGTTTTTCTTCCCCTGATTGGCCCGAAGTGTGATCTGCTGAGGGTTTTGTCTTTAACACTGCAGTGTGCTGCAGTATGAGTTGGACTTTTGGGACCAAAACAAGCCTCAGGGCTGCATGCAAGTAGGAGAGGAGCCATTGTAAGCTGTGCTAAAAAGGATGAGACACTTTCACTGCTAACATGCATGTATTTGTGTCGTTGTGGGCACAAAAAATAGTGGAGATTGATACCATGTGAGGACTAAGACTGAGTTTGGGTTTCACCCTGGTCAAGGTTAGGCGAAGCATGTCATGGTTTATTTTGTGAAAAACCTTTAGAGAGTTAGAAAGTCAAAGCAATTTCATTACGAGCACAGTACAAATTACAAGCGTGTGCTGCCACAGATAATGAGAAAATTGTCTCAAATGTATCCTTTGTATTTCAGAACAAATCACAGAAAAAACACAGTGTCTGTTTTTCCTCACATTATTTTAGTAGCTCCTTTGTCTTCTGCCTTTCGCACAGGTATTGCTCATCTCTTCTCCCATGTGTCTGCTAAACTTTGTTTCTTAAGAAGAGTGACTCACTAAGTGTTCACTTGCAGTTCAAAAGACTAATTTATTCCTGTCTTCGTTCTGTCTGTGCAACTTTTGCGAGATCAACAAGATATGTTGTGTGAGGACTTAAGAGTGTTTGAAACCTGCTGTTTTGAAGCATTTTTAGTACATCTTGTTCAACAGTACCTTTTGCATTGGTTTCTTGAGCTGTTCTACTGTATCTGGCATAGAAGTGCCGCCGTTGCTGACTTCATCACATATTACACATACCAGTGCTTGACCACCTTCTTTCTGACCCCTCTTGCTTTTATCAGCACATCCCCCACTGACTGTCATGAAGGAGCCATTATACTGATGCCAGCAGTGTGTGTGTGTGTGTGTGTGTGTGTGTGTGTGTGTGTGTGGTGTGTTTTACGGTTGATCTGATCCAACTGCTAAGTGAGGACAGCAACCCTGAAGTTATCACAAGAAGGACTCAGGCCGTGAGCACGAGATGTGACATGTGGGTTAAGCTTAGCAGCAGATGGTAAAACCCAGCTGATTTGGGGAGAAATTGCAGCTGAGCTAATGTTGCTGATTCAGTATGTCTTGCCACATCCATACCTCTGCCTGTAGAGAAAAGTCGTTGGGTTTGATAGCTCTATTTGCTTTCTGAGCTTTTTGCTAAATAAAATTAAAGCCTTGAGACCAGCATAAGTTTTACTTTACAGTTTTCGTATCTCGTTGTGTAATTAAATCTATTGATTTTCTTTACCTTGAAATATAAAGCTCCTTGATCTTCTCCTGTATAAATAACATTGAAAAAAGCTTTATATTACCCACAATTTGTATGGATCGTCTTCAAATTTCACAACAATATACTAAGCATTTGACCTTGAGCTTCATTGTTAGCACCCGAGGTCAAACCTTGAAAAACTGTACGTACATATTTTGTTTTAATTTGTTACATATTTGTTTGAAATTTGCACTCCTGTTGTATTGCCTGAAGTTTAGGTGCAGTGTCGAGAGCAGATGCTGTGATTATACCACAGTGGAGATGCTTATACACAAATACAAATATACAAATGTTTATACACTTTGAACCTTCACACACACACACATCACACACACACGACAAGCACAGCAGGCGAGCACACACACACGCTGTGTATAAGATATATATATAATATATTAGTATTATATATAATATTATAATATACTATATCAAAATGTTTATATCTCGACCTAAACCGATTTCCCTAAATAGCAAAAATTGAAAGAGGCTCTAAATCTTTGAATGCCTTATTTTCATTCAACTGCAAAAACCTCTGCTGTGAATTTGAGCCCTTATTCTCATTCCAGTGACAGTCCGCTCTCGGATGCTGTATCACCTCTCTGACCCAACAACCCCTGCTTGACATCATCACCACCCCCCTAATTCTCTGTGCATCCTGACAGGAGAAAGAAATCAAAGCTCAGTGTTCCCGCTGGATTGTGTCTTTCATGTGGCTTGTCAGTTTGATGCTTAGTTTTCTCCTTTTGTGTTCCAGGTCCTCCTTTGAACCAAATGCTAGAGCTGCTCTGCCCACTTAAAGATATCAGTAAGTTTTCTTTACTATGCCTTGGCAGGTTATTATATTGTAATGGTATACTGGGGAGTGTGGGAGGAAATTCTTATGGAGCCACATGAAGCATCCTACCAAATTGGTGAGACAGCTTAGACTTGGAGAATGTGCACTGCAATAATAAAAAGATGATAGGATGTCCAATATTGCAGCCTTCTTTGTGCTGCTACATTTGGACTCTAAGCTGGGAACTGAACCGAAAAGCATAACAATGAACCCTTGGGAGCTCCTTAACTTGCCTGGATGCCCACTGAGGTTGTGGTGTAGACACAAACAATGAGTAGAGGAGGGAATAAGAAGGAATAACAAAGAAAGAGGAGGGTGAAGAAATGTTATTCTGGTGGTTTGTTGTCTTTAACTAATTGTTAAATGTATCTTGAAGCTTGGATCTATTGTTTTAAAGCCTTTGTTCGTTTTAATGCTGCAAATGTGCAAATCAAGTAAAACTTTTCTTGACTTAGAGGCGATTGAAGGAAGTGACACCAAGAGAGAGTGAAAGACACCGTTGATTTACATACGAGGGAGAGGTAAATACATTAGAGGTTTGCCTAGGCAACCGAAGCCTGCAGTGTCTTCTCGCAACCAACCGTTAGCTGATCCACGAGGAGCAAATTGGTTTGTATGTAGACACAAGGGTTTAGTTTCACACAGAGGATTCGCACACTTTAAACAGCTTCAGCATTCGTATGAATTAAGGCCATTAACTGATGCCAAACTATAACACAGCCATAGCTGACACGTCTTTTGGTTACGGCTGACTGAAAAACAAAGAGTAAACTGTCACACAGACTTACACAACTGTGCTTTTTCATTTCACTTTCATTTTTATTTATATGGCAAGACAAATGTTGCCTCAAGGTTCTTTATATCGCAAGGTAAAGCTATAAAGAAGAGTGCAGTTTTGCTTCATTTACCACCTTGTCGCTGTGGAGTTTTTGAATTCAGCAGCTGTACTGACTGAGTGCCGTTACTGTTGATGATTAAACCTGTTAGCACCGTCTCTCACGCTATTGAGTCTAAAGTTGTTTTAGAAGAATACTTTGATAAATATTCACAAATACAAGCTGGCGACGGAGAAAGTGAGCAAAGATTTTGTGCTGATGAAGGCGAAGGAGGAGCATTGTGGGACTACATCACTGAAGACATACCATAAGAAGGGGTGAAGAGGGGAAGATGTAAGAATACTTGAGCAATTCAAAGTGTTGTGAGCCTCTCAACACTGCCTTTCCTCATCATTTATTAATTATCTGCTAGAATATTCATCCTCCCTGGCACAGCACTGTTCTCCTGTAGGGAGGGAAATTAATAGAGCTCTGTATCATCCTGACACTCAACAGTGTATTACAGTCTTTGTTATTGTAGTCACTTGAATGTCATCCATCATTAACCAGTGTCCCCTGTCCACGTCAAGTTGTCCTCTTATATGATGTTTACTGTTGATTTTGACTCTCTCTTCAACAGTCAGTCTAAAATTAAGAGTCTTCATAGAGAGAGAAAAGATGGGCACCTTTCAATAAAAGAGGCCACACCCTTACGTCCAGTATGCAAAGGAATAAATCATATTCATAAAATAATTCATCCCCCTTAGTGTTGAATGAAGGAGTTAGGGAGTTTATAAATGGGAGGCTCTGGAGATTTTTTCTTTGGCCACAGAGGTTGCCACTTGGGACTAACTTTATCTGCACTATATATAATATAAAGAGCTGAAGCTTTAGACCTCTTTGATGATGGGTGCAATTAGAGTCAGCCAATGCATTGCAGGGTTGTGCGTTGAGAGTGCTATCTTTCTGTTGTACCTTACTAATTAAATCCTTTGAAGACGATGGGAAGGACAACGAATCATTAATATGTACACTGGTTCTGTGGTACAATACTGTGAAATTCTCAGATAACTAACCTCTAAATCATGACGGGATTTTGGTGGCACACTGTAAAGTCACATCTGTCATCTCATATGCTGTTAACTGTGTAAAGAATCATTTGTATTTTTTCCTTTCTTCTGCTCTTCATAGTGCCTGCAATTATCTGAATACTGCAAAGAATCTACTGTGTATCTATGCACGCTCGCTCAGAATCAGCCTATCTGGGTTGACTACCTGCAGTGAGTTCACTGTAGAGTCTGCATTCATTTATGCATTTTCCTTTTATTTCTTTAAAAAAAAAACAAGAAATGAAATACATTTCTAACAGCACTGGTAATTTTCCTTTGGCTCTGGCTAAAATCTCATTAGGGCACATTTCCTGAAGTTTCCCCTAAAGAAAGACCTTTCAGTAGAGACGATGTAGGTGAGCAGCTGGAAGCAGGTGAGGTGGGTGTGTTTTACTCAGGGTACAAACTGAAAGACTCATCAGGTGGGATGAAAGGGTCCTGAAAAGACAAAAACATGCACATTCAGCAGGGATGTTTTATTAACAGGTGACTAAAGCTGGTGATTGTGGATGCAATGGGTAAAATGAAGCCAGTGGCAGTGGCAAAAACGGCATCTCCATAGACTTTTTTGTCAAGCACATTTACAGCCAGGTGGAAAATATTAAATGTCCTCTATGGACAGCCTCACCCTTCATAACAACTCTGAGGTGACAGTATATATATTTCCTGAGTTAGGGGTGGTATGTGTGTGTGTGTGCTGCTGGAGCAATTTTAATGGATTGTTTGACTATTCATTGATTGTTTTACATCACAGAAGTCTGCACTTCAGTTTTGGTGAGTGAGATTCTAGTTTTCTCTTAGCCCTTTAGATAGCACTCATAGATGGTAAGAAAAAAAACATGGATGAAGTTTCCAAGTCAGAAAAATGTGCCTTAAACCTACATTCTATCTGAAGGCCACCAGATGGTGATAGCTATGACTGCAAAAAGACTTCTGGTCCTATAGAAGTCTATGGGAAAACTGCTTTCTGTCTTGGCCTCTGCAAAGATTTTCCTGTTAAGTTTATGGACTCAGTCACTTGTTTTGAATCATAATCAAGAAAAAAAAATTCTGTTTTGAAAATCTTGGTGATGCTGTGTTTCCAAATGAAACCATTTGCTAATGGTTTGTCAGTAGCAAGTCAGTAGCCAATGAGCAGGCAGTTTCACAGCCAGCTCCGCCCCTTCCTCTCAAGCGATTGCAAGCGTTCAAAACAGGGTTTCACAGTAGACTGTCACGGCATCAGCATCATGTGGCTTCGTTCATATTTTCTTTCTCATTTAATTAAAGCATTTTATGTTACCTTACCTAAATGACATCTACATATTTTACTGTCATTTTTTACCATTTAATAAACAAAACCGTATTTGTTCTTGAGGAAATTAAACACTCCTCTATATTTATTTATCACCGTGTTGGTAGGTGGTTGGTTAGAGCCTTATATGCAGGAGCATTCCTACAGCTGAGTCAAGCCTTGCAATTTTAACCCCAGCCGAAGATATTTGGTTAAAATTAAAAAGAAAGTCTTAAATGTAAATAAATATTTGTTTTCTTAATTGTGTGGACAGTCTTAATCACTGTCAGTATTCTGTGTTATAAAATAAAATTTATTTTCTGAATATTAACTGAAAAGGTAAACATGGGCTCTATTCAGAAGAGGCATAAACAAGAATCAAACAAAATAGTGTGACGATAATGTCACGACTTTATTCACTGTATTTCTAATGGTTAACATACAATCAGAGTGCATGGTCAAATACAAAATGCTGAACCTGAACCTTTGGTTAGCATCCAGTTGACTGCTTTGATCCAGAGGGCAGCGGTAGGAACCTTTAAAACATCTGCAGTGCTGTTTTAGCGACCAGAGACAGCAATGTGATGTAAGGGGATTCAAATGAGAGATGCAATAATCCAGATTTCTGGATCAGTGCTGCGTGTGCCTCTGTTGTGGTCAGCCTGTCTTGCTGAGCCCCGTCAGACCTTCCTCTGCTCTTGCTGTCTCTTATGATTCTTGGCTCCATCCCCGGAGAGTGAAATTAGTACTCAGCACACCACAATGAAGTGACTGAGGCAGTGTATCAGGAAGCTGCCATCCTTGCATTGATTTTTCCCCCACCTCCTTTTACCTGTCATTTTGTATAAAGATAAAAGCATGACAGTTCAGTTTTTAAAGGTTGATGGAACATAAACATTATCAATTAGAATATAATTCCACATTTATTACCAGAGTCTTGATTTTTAAACATATGTAATTATGCTTGGAGAAACTTCCCTTTACTTTTTGCATACATAACAGTTGCTATGTTAACTCTCACCCCAGAGGAAGGCCAATTTATCCCACATCAGTTTGCAGCATGCTAGAGGGGAGATAATCTTAAGAGCAGCAATAGAGACATGCATTAATAGAGCAGGCTGTGATAACAGTAGCTGCAATAAAATATGGGAAACAGGCATATCATTGAGAAAATAAAGGGTGGATGCAGTGCTGTGTTTTATTCATTTTTGCTAGTCTTTTCTGTGATATATCTGTGCATTGTAAGCCTGTGTTTTTATTAATAATTCTTCTTATATTTTTCTGTCTAGCAATTTATATTCCACTTACCTTTGGTTTATGCATATTCGGATTTTATGTATGTTTTTTAATGCAAGAAAATACTGCTTTTTTTTCTGATGCAGTTATTACTGTAGAGCAGTGAGGTTATTGAAATGTATTATACATTGCTTTCTTTTAACTGGGAGACGTTACTCTAGATTCATGTGCACATACAGCAGCGGACATTCATTTATGCTGCCTGCTCTTGCTGTAGCATTTGGGACTCCCTGTGTCTGCAGTATTTATGGGAAATCCATGGATTTTAAACCAAAGAGGGAACTGAAGTATTAGACTACTTTTAAGGATGGTTGCATGTGCAATTTGAGTCAGCTAGTGCATTGCAGGGTTGCTAGCTGGGCATCCATGTAAACCCTGGAAATAGAATCGGACAGACAGTTTATTTTGTTTATTTAATTAATTTTTTGAAAATATAACATCACTTTTGTAAGGACTTATCAGTGTGAGCGAGTACCT